GTATACTGCATTCTATCAGAAAAATAAGAATGCAACCAACTCTTAGTCCAGGATCCTGTTTGCGTCAACGAAAGCTTATTTAATAAAAGGCCCTTAGGTACAGAGTCAAAAGCAGATGTGTAGTCTAGGAAAGCACCAAGAACATATTTGGCACCTTTGTCTAAACAAGAAACAACATTATGATATAAGACAACCGCAGCATCCAAGGTACTTCTACCATGTATATATGCAAATTGTTTAGGATCATTAAAAAGTTTCAATGAAGGTTCAAGACGAAGTAAAAGTAATTTTTCCATCAATTTTAAAGAAGGAGAAGTAATTGCAATAGGCCTAAATTTAATATTAATACCAGAAGCTTGTTTTGGTATAGGGATAATTTTAATGTTTTCACATGCAAAAGGTAGAACATTACTGGAAAAGGAAGCATTAAAAATGTTAGTAAGAGGGTAACACAAAATATCAGCACAGTTCCTGTAATAGAAATACGACTGTAGAGTTGCTTGAAAATGAAGCTGTTGAAAAAAATCTCTCATTGCTGAATTAAATACCCTGTGTTTCTCCAATTTTAAAAGTCTCCTATACTAACGAAGTAGTATTTTTGAAAGAAACACTAAAAACTGAGGTCACAGAAACAGTTCGCCAGTTGTGTTGTACCATATTTTTGAAAGCCTCACTGAAAGGCTTTTCCCAATGTGATTAACCCTCCTCAAATTGTATGATAGGCCTTTCTTGATTTTGTGAACAGTATTCTCAGTTTGGAAAGCTTATATGGATAAAGTGAAGCTATCATAACCGAAACCACAGCGACCTTGGAAAACCAACCAATTAGAACTCAGATGCAAAAAGTCGCATAATCGTTAAAAAATCCACCAAATCACATTGCAAACATCATATTACACTGTACAGTTATGGCTTATATATTGTAAGAATGTCTCTCAGTCAATACAAAAATGATGCTTAGAGAAATCGTACCATGCGCTGTATACCCATTCATCCAGGTAACTGTAGGTCATGCCACTCTGAGATCCATCGATATTTCTGACACTGCTCTTTAACCTACTCCTAAGTCTAACCACAATCCTAACTCCTAATCCTAATTTTAACCCTAATACTAACCTTAACCCTAGACCAGAAACCTTAATGTAAAAAGTAAATAAGTTGAATACTGTATCTGTCCTCTACAACACCGAAAAGGCAGGCATGATTTGATTTGGAATGATATTTCATAGCATTCTCTGTGTCTGATCGGTTCTTGAAGGTCAACTTTTGAAAGACCTTGACTTTGGCTATGGTAACTTTAACTTCGCCCTTATGTGTTTATATGTTAACTAATACTCAACGATACTTCAGTTTGGTTGACCCCTAGACCAGGAGAAAACAGAGGTGATGAAGATTCCTGGTCAACACCAACAGCAGCAACAACAACAACAACAGACAACAATCAGCATAAATGGGAGGAACCTGAAAGAAACAACTTCCTTCACTCACCTATCTACCTGGGAAGCATCGTTTCAACTACAGGCGAACGGAACTGACGAGGATATCAAAGCAGCGAGGATCGGGAAAGAAAGACAAGCTTTCACTACTCTCAAGTCTCTGTGGAGGTCAACAGCACTCAGCATCAAAACGAAGATAAGATCCGGATTTTCAACTCCAGTGTGAAGTCAGTCAGTGCTACTCACAATACGGATGGATCGGAGACTTGCACTGCGCGTCATAAACAGCATCTCAAACAAACTACATACCTTCATTAACAGCTAGTTTTCTTCGCTCAATACCACTCAAGATCAGATGGCCAGCCAGAAAAGATCAGCAACAGAGATCTCTGGCAATGAGCGAACCAACTCAGCAGGAACCGATTGTGAAACAAATAGGCAGGAAGAAATGGAGATGGATTGGTGGCCATACTCTGAGGAAACAAACCATCAAGTGACATCACTAGACAAGCCATTGCTCGAGTGGAACCCGACTGTATTGGAAGCGGCGAGTTGGTCGTCAGTGCGAGGGTGGGTGACTTGGAGGAGGTCATGTGAAGAGGAGATGCAAACGTGTGTGTGGTAGACTTGGAACGAGGTGAAGACTCTAGCAGAGAACCGAACGCAATGGAGACGGTTGGCTGAAGCCGTATGTTCCTCTAGGAATTAAAGGAAACAATAATAATAATTATCATCTGGTTGACTCTTATCTACTAGTTTGACTTATGTTACTGACCTGAATGACAGTCATTACATGGTATTTGGTAAATTATATGACGAAGTTAATTTAGCATAGCCAAAGTCAAGGTCTTTCAAAAGTTGACCTTCAAGAAGCAATCAGATACACAGAGAATGCTATGTAATATCATTCCAAATCAAATCATGCCTGCCTTTTTGGACCTGGAGAGGATAGATACAGTATTCAGCTTAATTACTTTTTACATTAAGTTGTATGGTTAGGATTGGGGTTAAAATTAGGATTAGGAGTTAGGATTGTGGTTAGACTTAGGAGTAGGTTAGGGAGCAGTGTCAGAAATATCAATGGATAATATCCCCATTTAGACATTTGAGAAAACAGAAAGATTGAGCCAATGCATTCAAGAATGAAGTCCAAAGAAATTCTCGCTTCACTGAGCCTTGCGCTGTACTTCAGATACTCATCGAGTGCCTTTAACGCAAACTTTTGCTCGGAAGATTTCAATATAGAAAATATCCCCATTTAGACATTTGAGAAAACAGAAAGATTGAGCCAATGCATTCAAGAATGAAGTCCAAAGAAATTCTCGCTTCACTGAGCCTTGCGCTGTACTTCAGATACTCATCGAGTGCCTTTAACGCAAACTTTTGCTCGGAAGATTTCAATATAGAAAATATCCCCCATTGCTCAATCTTTCTGTTTTCTCAAATATCAATGGATCTCAGAGTAGCATGACCTACAGTTACCTGGATGAATGGGTGTACAGCGCATGGTACGATTTCTCTAAGCATCATCTGTGCATTGACTGAGAGACATTCTTACAACATATAAGCCATAACTGTGCAGTGTAATATGATGTTTGCAATGTGATTTGGTGGATTTTTTTTAACGATTATACGACTTTGTGCATCTGAGTCATGATTAGTTGGTTTTCCAAGGTCACTGTGGTTTTGTCTGTGTTAGTTAAATTTTGCCAAATATATTATTTTTTCTTAATGGGATCTGTTGCGTCCTTAAGCCGACAAAGTTTATCTCTGAGTGATCACCGATTGATGTGATTTAAAGAACATTCGATTCATTATAGTCCACGACGCCTCAGCAGTACGCATCGGGGAACCGAAGAGACTACCTTCAGGTTAGGAAGTAAGTAAGTCTTTTGACCATTCAACCAGTTGGACTCTATCAGACATCCCATGGATTCCAACTTCTATCTCAAGATAATCTGACATGAATTAGGTTGATTCACTGAAATCGACACAATGAATGATCACTGTGAATGTGAAGTGAAGAAAAAGATTAAATGATATCAGTAAGACTCGAACCATTGGGTGACCTTATGATACAATTTCAATGTTTTGTCGAATGAACCATGAAGCCTACACCAAGCCTACCAAGTTCCAGTTCTACTAAATACTGTGTTTTTATGAGTTTATCACGGATTGGTATCAGTTAGAGAACCATTGGAGTACTGGACAGCTGCTGTTTCATCCTAGTTTGGGTATCATCGGCAGTACGCATCCACTGGGATTGGAACCCAGGACCTTCGGGTTCCAAGGCAAGCTGGCTCGTATACCATTCAGCCACTGGGACCCGATTCAACGGCCAGCCCATGAATTCTAACTTCTACCCATTCGTGATTTAGCGCGACCCCGGTGGGTGCGTACTTCCGATGATTCCCAAACTAGGATGAAACAGTAGCTGTCCAGTACTCCATGCTGGTTTTCAAAGGTTCTCTAACTGATATCAATCCGTGATCAACTCGTAAAAATATAACTAACCCTTACAAACCAACCAAACTATAGAAAATAGCGTGTATGAAACGCATGACTGAACATAGACAAATACAGTTTTTCTCTAGTTAGGGATCTACACTACACCTATTGACTACTCTCTCGCCTCTTCATTCTGCCTTCTCCATTGATTTACACATCTAACATCTATGTAGTCATATATATATAATATATTTGCATAACAGGCAGAAGCTGGAGTCAAAAAATGATATATATAAAAAAAGGCATGTTACGGCCATAATATTAATAATAATAATAATTGTAGTATGACTGACTATATCACCTGTCTGTAACACAACCCTAATGAACATTAGTAATCTTTATAGGAAGGAGAATATAAGAGAGAGACCCAATTGTGTGTGTAATGCATTCTTCGTATATTATTGGTTTATGCTTTCAGATTAGAGAGAGAGAGAATTGCAGAATTCTAGTCTGTCATATAGTCTGTATTTCGATGGCACCATCACACTTACACACACACGCACACACACACCGTCTTTCCCATATTTCTGTCTGTCTACTTTTTATCTACCTCCTACAGAGTTTAGGTTTGCTAAGGTCATATGCATTATTAAGTAGTGATAGATACGTCCTTGCAGCTGCGCATGTATGTTTGTATGTACTTGTACACAAACACACATACCACTAACGCACAATGCAAAAAAGAAGCATTGTATACTAACCAGTTTTTAGGCATAGATTTAGTCTTTAACCAAGACTACTCTCACCACCCCTCCATTGGTTGGCTGGCTAGCTGGCTGGCTGGCTGTGTGTGTCTTTCGACCAATAAGCACAGGTCACAAGGTGGTATGTGATTCTCTTATTAATACTTTTTGGCTAACCAATCCTTTCAAGTTACATGAATGAATAATAACCAAGTGAGCGGATGAGCGGGTGACTGAGTGAGTGAGTGAGTGTATGTGTGTCTGCGTTTATCCAACGATGCATCGGACTGTTCTGATTGTTGTTGTTGTTCTTTTATTCTGTAATAAATCGATCAAAACGAAAGGGAGGCGCGTGCTGCACGCTTAATTCATGCTTAAAGCAATGCATGCAAGCTAATTTTTAACAATGTTGCTTTTATAACATTCACGGTGATGATCATCCGTTGGAAATTCGCATGAGCTGTTCATCATCATCATCCTTGTCCTTCTTCAACTGACCACACACTGCATCTCTGTTTGTCGACGTCAATTTAGTTAAAAAGGAGAAAAAAGCAAAAATCACAAGGAAGGAAGGAAAATTTCGTCGACAGTGGATTTTTAAAATATCACTTTTTCATTTTTCTAAGTACACTATTTGCCTTTATTTCAAACGCCTACAACAAGTGATATATTATTATTATTATACATCATGGAAAAGACTATGAGTACAGCATAAAAAAAGTGAGTTTCCTTTAAATAAATAAAATTAATTTGGTCTATTTTTTAAAATATATTTTTAACTGATTAAAAATGCCCATTAAAAATGTTTTCAAAAGAATGGACACTGAACAAAGAGTACTCTTTTCGATAAATTCATCATCAGGTTCTACAATTATATATACATTATAATGAATGAATGAATTAGTCTTATGAACAACATTAATGTTGCTCTTTAAATAACATCAAATCAATAATATTGATAGATTACAGCTGAACAGCATCAACATTAAATAAGCTGAATGTCAGAAGAATTAAGTAAGATAATAGTACAAATTCATGAGTTTTTAGTTTCTACTGAGGGCCGGCCAGGGTAGTAGTAGGGGCTGTACTTGTTTCTTTTGGATACAGAACACTGGTTGTTTGAGGCGAATTGCAATAGCCTCTACTGTTTTTTATGGCATGGGGTGCTTCGACTATTTTGGTAATTTGTTAGGCACCCGGTAGATGATAGAGAAGGATTCTTCTACGCTGGCTGGCTGGCTTTGTGACCGGTTTGCACCAGATGGTCTAATATCGAACTGTTAATAGTTTTAACTACACCTTTACTTAGCCATAGTGAGAGATGTTCTCGAGTATGAAAGATCAAGTTCCTAGAGCAACGGCCAATATAACTCGCTCCACAAGCGCAGTTAAATTGGAAGATATAATTACCTCGTTTGGTATATCGCCCATGAATTGTAGTCGTATATATAAAGGCTTCTTGTTTACAGATAGTGAGTAGTCCTTTTCCGCTTTCTTTGTCATGTGTTTCTTGATAAATTTGTCAGGATAACCATTTTCATCTTCAACTGCTTCTTCTGAGCATATAGCTCTAACTCTGTGGCTGAGGGTCTTCACTGAATTTCTTTTGTTATTGATAGGAACGAAGCTGTGAAATTGTGTATATTGTCCTGTCCAAATGCTTTTTCTATGCAAATTTCTTTTTATGCTACCGTCTGGTTTTCTTGTAAGTAGGACATCTAGGAAGGCAATTCTGTCTTGGGATTCCTCTTCACATGTGAATTTCATAGCCGAATGTACTTCATTGAATTCAGTAATTATTGTACTCCTATCAGAACCATTATCACAAAGAATAAAGGTATGATCCATATATCGGCAATAAAATGAGAGAGAGCTTACTGATAAGGTTGTTCAGAGGTCCATTTTCTAGCTTAATTAGCGAGAAATCAGTCAGAATGGGACCCAATGGGGAGCCCATTGCCACCTCGTGCACTTGCCTGTAAAGCGTGCAGTCAAATTTGAAGTTCACATTCATAGTGCATCTTAATATCAATTCTTTTAGGATTTCAATATGGATTCCAATGTTTATTGACTGCTTGTCCACTTGTTCACATATATAATTAACTGTTTCTATTAGAGGTACATTTGTGAATAACGATGTTATGTCCAGAGATTGTCTTACCTCTGTGACGTTCGTTATACTAGCTCAGGTGAATGATTTTGATTTGGTTGTTTGTGTACCTTGAGCTGGGTGGTGATTTAATTCCGAAGGTTTCATTATCCATCTGGAGAACACCTTCAGCGCAAGTTTTCATATGAAGTGGACTTTTTTTGCATTCGCCATGAATGATGTAACTATACCTCCTGACAACCTTTGCTCTGATTATTTGTGGTCGAACTTGGGCACTGTGATAGAATGTCATTCTACACAATAGATCAGTTTATTTGATGTAACTTACAATGTGATATAGTATTAGATGGTTGGAGGCAATCGGCCACAGGAAGCCTTGGCTACACCTAGGTTTCGTGCTAGTTGGCACTCACCAGTCAGGAAGGCGTATCTGCAACCTTGAAGGAACTCATATTCCTTCTGAGATTCGAACCAGCGTCACCCAGTGAGAGCTGCAGTCAGAGACGTTACCACTGAGCTAATCAGGCTCGCGACTGGCCACCTGTAGGACTGTACTGGATATTTTTGAATGCACACTAGTCAGTAACTAGTGTGCAGTCAAAAATGTGATATAGTGTTAATAACTAGCGACGTTTTGAGGAGAATTTATTGCTGCTCACAATCATATCAATGTGTATGTATTTGACCTTCTCCTCCGCCTCCCCCCATTGCTGTTTGTTACAATTTTCTATATTTCCGGTGTAGGCGTTGAGTCATTTCCATTATACACGTGTTTGCTGTTGATTCGATGCAGAAGGATTCAGTGATTTACCTCTCTCCCTCTCTCTCCATTTAACTATATTACTTTTTAATACTTTCACCCCCTGTCCCACCCAACCTATTTTGTGGTTACATGCAGGATCAATAATTCTAGGTCTAGGTAAATTTTTATGTTCCAATAATAATCTAGTTGACCCGTGATCTACTAGCTGGACCTACCTATGTATTTGACCTTACAGTCATTACATGGTATTTGGTAAATTATATTACTTTTCTTAATTGGATCTATTGAGTGAGTCCTTAAGTTGACAAAGTTGATCTCTTTGTGAGAGCTTATTGGTTTAATTCCCCCCCCCCATGTTCCAGGTTCATTGAGAATCCTACGAAAGGCCTCCGATGTTCCTTCTTTGTACTGCAGTACTACAGAGGCTTTCAACTCTATTATTTTCGTCATTTTTATTGCTAATCTTAGTTTTTCTATGGTTCTTCATATATATTTTTGAATAAATTCTGGTGGGTGTTATTCATTGGAAATGTTTCTTTTATTTTCAAGTATTGGTTTTGTAGGGATTTTTTGTTTGATTGGTTGGAGGATTTCATCATGAGCTGACATTATTTAGAGAACCACTGGAAAACCTGGGAGTACTGGACAACTGTTTCGTCCTAGTTTGTGACTCCTCATCAGTATGCAGCCACACTGCGGGGTTCGAACCCAGGACCTTCTGGTTACAAGGTGAGCTCGTAGACCATTGAGCCACTGGGACCCGATCCAATGGCCCATGAATTCTAACTTCTGCCAATTCACGACATAGCGCGACCATTTTGCAATGTCTTCTGCGATGAGTTACTGCCTCATCTTTTATTTGTTTGATTTCATTATTTAAATTTCCTGACTTCTTAGTTGTTAGGCTCCTGGTCCGATTATATACGGATTTAACTAAGCTTAACTTTATCGCTTCTTGGTGGGATAAATTGAAGTCTGAGTACCCATTAGAAGATTGTGTCCGTTCCCCTTAAATACTAGGTATCTAACCCACAGGCAAATTATGAAGCTGTGTGAATAAATTGATATGATTATGCGCGATAACTTGTCCTCGAAACGTCATCCAGTTATTAACAGTGTATCACTGTATAATATATCAGATAAACTTGTCTAATATAGAACTGATTATTATTATTATTATATTATTATTGTTTCCTTTAATTCCTAGAGGAACATAGGGCTTCAGCCGTGCGTCTCCATTGCGTTCGGTTCTCTGCTACAGTCTTCACCTGGCTCCAAGTCTGCCCACACGCTTTCATCTCCTCTTCACATCACCTCCTCCAAGTCACCCTCACCTTTGCACTGACGACCAACTCGCCGCTTCCCTTTCATTCGGGTTCCACTCGAGCAATGGCTTGTCTAGTGATGTCACTTGATGGTTTGTTTCCTCAGAGTATGACCAGCCAATCCATCTCCATTTCTTCCTGCCTATTTGTTTCACAATCGGTTCCTGGTTGGTTCGCTCATTGCCAGAGATCCCTGTTGCTGATCTTTTCTGGCCGGCCATCTGATCTTGAGCAGTATTGAGCGAAGACAACTGTTAATGAAGGTCTGTAGTTTGTTTGAGATGCTCTTCATGACGCGCAGTGCAAGTCTCTGATCCATCCGTATAGTGAGTAGCACTGACTTCACATTGGAGTTGAAAATCCCAATCTTATTTTCGATGCTAAGTGCTGAGTGTTGACCTCCTCACACAGACTTGAGAGTAGTGAAAGCTTGTCTTGCTTTTGCTTGATATCCTCGTCAGTTCCGTCTACCTGTAGTTGAAACGATGCTTCCCAGGTAGGTAGGTAGGTAAAGGAGGTTGTTTCTTTCAGGTTCCTCCCATTTATGCTGATTGTTGTCTGTTGTTGTTGTTCTTGTCCAGGAATCTTCATCACCTCTGTTTTCTTTATGTTCACCTGAAGTCCTATTTTCTCCGGATGCTTCTTCTGACAACTTGTTGCTAATTTCCATCAGTATTGATATATTTTTAAAAACTGGGAATTTGACTTTTGTATCGTGGGACTTATTCTTTATGAGTTGATAAATCTGACCTATAATGTTATGTCTAGGAATCGGTGATTCCTCTGAGGTTCAGGATTCTAGAAATTCTAAGGCATTTTTTATGTTTCCACTGTTTAAAATGTCTTCATTTCCCCAGTCACATTGGTGTCTGTAGTTGTCCACACATGCACTGGTATGAAAGAATACATTTTGTCTTTTGACAGCTAGTTTACATTCTTGGATCTGGAATCGAAGAGGACGCTGATTTTTCACCAGTTTACTGCTTATCATCTGGGTTAACATGACGTCTCGTCCCATTTGGGACTCGTCATCTGGATGTACCTGCACCCCCCCAATGAGTGATGGTGTTCTCACCACTGAAGCTCGAACCCAATGGCCATAGTTTCAAACGCCAAATAGTTATCTGTTAGACCACTTGGGCAATAAGAGCCACCTCCTGTGCAACGGGACGAAATGAGCATCCTGGATTCCACTGCTAGTCACCTTTCACTAAGCGACTTCAAGAAATGGTTTTAGTATTTCTGATTTCTCATTATTATACTTTTGTTTTACTTGACCACAATGGGTGACCGTTTGTATTACGGGACTAAGCTTTCCGCATTACGCTTAATTCTCCCCCACATACTTGTGGAGATTAATCTACCAGTGTGTGTAATAAGGTGTTTTTAAATCTGTGATAGTTTTGTTGTATTTTGTATTTTGGAGACATGATTGATTTCAAAGTTATTCTCAGCATAATCAAGAATCATTGGGAACTAAGAATTAGGTAGGGTACAACTATTTCGCCCTGGTTTTGGGCTC